ACTCAAAGCAGGTATGCAAGGTTCTTCTCTAGTAAAAGGTCTAATTCTCTGACCAGTATCTTTATTTCAATTAATGAAATCTGTATCTGAATCCTTGAAACTATGATGATCTTCAGAGTTATTCCACAGGCAGGTCTAGGTCTACTGACCATTTGCATAGTCTCAGAATTAAACAATAATTCTTCCATCTAGTAACATTACAGGTTTCTGATTATTTAAATATTCTTTCATGCACACAGTTTAACATGGCAGCACTTAGGAAAAAAGGTGGAAGAGTTATTGAAAAAGTACTTGGGGGAAAACAATTGGTAAGACATGAAATTTTCCTACTTTTTCCTTTTTCTTTTTTGTGTTACCTTAGGAAGGTAGAAGGTGTGAGAATAAGTGAGCCTTCAGAAATTGCCATTTCCCAGGGGGAAAATATGATAGCATTTTATAGGATATCCCATTTCTCTCTTGCCTCCACAATACAACCAAGATAAAAGAGAGGATGTCCAAATGGCAGGTTAAGTCTGGGTAACAACAACATGACAAACCAACTGCAAGCAATGGGAGAAAGGAGACCAATTCAACAGTACAGATGGCGTCCATAAGCCACAGTGGTTTTTTGGAATTTCAATAGACTTGGCACTTTCTACAACCAAGACTAAACAAAACAAAAACATACACAAATAAAACTCCCAAATATTTGGCTTGACTAAAAAAAAATACCATTACCTTCCTAGAGTGATAAAGGGAAGATAAGGGTTAATAAAAGGGAGAGAGTAAAATTCTGGCTATGCCTGAGCACCAGGAGAATGGAGGTTGAATAAAAAAGTGAATTTCTAGATGCCATTCACATTTTTTCCAGCTCTGAAATAGGGTTTGCTTTGAGTTTAAGATGAAAAAAACCCTTACCCTATCTGTGTGCATGATGAAGTTAAAGACAAAGGTCTTGTGGCTGCCTCATCCTGCTGATGCCATTTAAAGATACAGAATATTTCCCTATGCTATGCTTGCCCTTTAGGCTAAGATGGGGGAGGTCATGTCTGGACAATGACACAGAGGATCTGAGCTTGAACTGCTGCTGGAGGGGTTGTGCCTCTTCTTTCAGCTCATCTCACTCTGGTTTGATCCCTGCTTCCAATTTACTGTCTGCTAAAAATGCATGTATCTGACATTTAAAGACATTCTGTACTGTCCTAGGCACCTGTAAGAGTAAGATTCGACCTAGTTTTGCCAGAGATGAACTCATTCCCTCAGCTGCAGAAAATCTGTAAGAACTCAATCAAGCTGAGTTGATCCAAGTATTCATCTCCCTGCTACATCATTTTAGGGCTCCAATGTGTCTGGGCCCTCCAGTCTCTTCCTCTTGAGTTTTCATCATATCAAGTCAATGTGGTTATCAATTTCAGGTACACAGCCTCAACCTACACAGCCTCTGGTACTGGATTTGCCTGTGGTTGGAATTAGGTGTAAGAGGTGAAGATTGTATAGGGCACATTTGCTGTTCCTACACTAATATCGTCCTTGACCCTCAGCTTCAAGTTTGAACTGGAGATCAGAGCTTAGCCAGTCCTGAGAACAGAGGGTCAGGTCTGACATATCTGCCTTATCTGGGGTACTCTCTTCTCCAGCTACCTGTAATGCTTCGATTTTAAGTCACTATTCTCAAGGGCCTTCATTATCCAGGACTTTAAGAAGTGGTTATGAGCTTGGTGACCCCATACACAATACAACCTTGCTAAGGTCTTAGCAGTTTGCATCAATTGATTGATTTCAAAGACTAGGACATGAATAGAAACATCTAGTAGAGGGAACAGAGATGATGGAAGAGAAAGAATGGACCTGCTTTTAGAAAGTCAATTTCTCTATGTTAGATGTTATGGAATTCTTTCTTAGCTAATTTTCTAGTAAAAAAAAAAAAGCTTGATAAACACATATAAGTGGATCAGCCAGAACAATTTCATACCGACATTCAATTTTTAACCTGATATGGTATATTTAAGAACGTGTTTCTTAGAAGCATGGCCCAGTTTGGGGTTGAGACCCACCTGGAAGGGTCCTATTAATACAAGTAGAGAAAGCCTGCAAGATGCTATTCTTCAATTGACAGCTTTCTGAACATTGCTAGGATCCATGTACGGGCAATCTCAGATAAGATTTGAATACCATGATTTGCAGTGGTTCTGCTTTGGTTCTACTATGAAATATCACTCACAGGAAACCTGCATTGGAAAAATTGTTTCTTTCTAAGCCATTTCTTCATAGACAGCCTCCTGTATCAAAACAGAAAATACCTTATCAGACTCATTTATTATTATAAATGATAGTCTTTGTCACTAAGAAAAGCCCATGATTTATTGAATACATCACTATTCCTAGAGATGAACTTGTAAACATATTGACCCTCTATATTTCTGCCCTAAACTCTGACATTTGACATACAATAATTGGAATGGGGTATCTTCTGAAGTCTAAAGTGCTCCTAGCATTCTGACCAAATCTTTTGGGGCAGGCTTTGTCTCTGTGGAATTTGTTTTGGAAGAGTTTGTAAGAACCAGCCTGTTCCCTAATATCAGGGTATTAGGAAAAGCAGGAAGCACATTGGCAGATTATTTTCAGTAGCATTAACATAATCTAATTAACAGTGAAAACATTTGCATTGACTGGCATATCCTAATATTTAAGCAGGAGACACTAAATAACCTTATCTAGCAGGATTTTAAAAGAGATAATATTTGAAGGTGCTCAGTGAAAGCAGTAATGAAGGGTAACTATTATTGAGATTTCATTTGGACCTTGTAGACTCACCAAGATGTTCTCTACAGAGACAATAAAGAGGTTATTTTTTTTTGGCCAAGGTAACACATTATAAACATAGACCTTCAAAGTTTTCAAGCTAAAATCATATTCTGCACCTTTCATGGAATGAAAATTCTCTTAGTGATTGAAAAATTTCAAAATAATTTTTTAAGTTAGATGGACTTTTGCCTGGTCCCTAGTGGACCCCATTCACGGACACATGGTAAGAACTTCCATACAGACCAACATAAAAAGGAGCCTCTGAAGTTTTCACTGTAGAATCTCAACTCTTCCCCTATAACTGACACCTGAAGCATTTGAAACATACTTTCTAGACACCCATCAGAGAATTCAACAAAAGATCAGAAATTCAGCAATTTTGTAAGAAGCTTACTTGAAAAAAATCAATATTTAAGAGTCAGCCGGAGAAGCATGCTAACTATTCAATCCTCAAGATAATTCCGGCTCCATTCCTTAATTAAGTTATCATCAGAAAGCAACTTGGGCTGTAGTATCCTAGTTTTCTGAAAAACCTATCTTCCTTTCGGACTTAATGATATGAAGAACATTTCTTAGCCTTACTAAAATGATTTTCCATTATGTTACTCATTGGCCTTTATCTAAAGATCCACATGATAATACCTCCTAAAATTTTGCACAAGGAAATGTTTCTCTGTCTAAATTAATATCTAGACTTTCTTTTTATCAGGTACTTCATAACTGTGATCCAATATTCTTCACTCTATTTTTCACTTTGTTTAATAGAAACCTCAAGGTTAACTTTTAAACTTTTATTGTGGCTATTGACTAACTTCAGGTATTCCCTTGCTTTCCTTCTGATTGATTTTGAATATTATTAAGCTTTGGTTTACATCACAATTGTATTGACCCTCTTTGAAATAGATGAGATGAAAGTATAGTGACCATATATCCTGGATTTTCCAGGGATGTTTTGATTTCAGTGGCTTTATTTTTTTACTTGATGGTAACTAATTAAAATCTAACAATATACTTCCACATTCTCATATTCATAAAACTTTTTCATGAAAATAAATTCACTCACCATTGAAAATTTGAAAGACCCTGGGCCCTAATTTTGGGTTAAGAGAATATTGTCACATACCTTTATATCACAAATAAACCCAACCTCATTCTAGTACTCCAGACTCATTTTTCCACTGACCGTTAGACACCTTCACTTGAATGTCCCCCACATACCTCAAACACAGCATATCTTTTTTCCACCAAACGTAGTGCTTTTTCCTGTGCTTTTCATAACTTGGTCAGTGACAAATTATCCAAGTGATTTCTCTCAATGGCCCCACCCTATTCAAATCAGTCATTAACTTTATCTGATCTTTGAAATGCCTAATATATTACCTCCTCTCAGTTTCTTCCTTCACTCTTCAAGTTCATCATTTCTCCTTGGCCCCTTTCTATTGTTTCCCAACAGTCTTTACCCACTTTTCCAATCTGATCTCTACCCCATTATCTGAGTTTTCTTTCTAAAACTAAATTCTGATTATGCCATTTTTCTTTTTAAGAAAATCACAGTATTTCCTCCATTATTGGTAGAATAAACTTCAGTTTACATAACCATGACATGTAGTTGTTGTTTCCTATCTCAATTTCTACCATTTACTCCCATAACACAAGTGTTTGTAGCTTTCATCCACAACCACTTCCCTCCCCCACCCTCATCACAACTCTTTTCAAGGACCCCCTTCCTCTAGCCAGTTTGGGAGAAATTAAAAGTACGTCAGTGCATACCAGAGCCTACTTTTCTACTAATGCTAGCATCTACCTTCTGCTCTTAGGTCTAGTTCACATCTTCACTTGCTTTGCTAAAGATCATGGAATTCTGGAACAAGCAGCCCCCTCGACTGCTGGTGCCTCCACCATGTGGGCATCAGCAGAAGAGTAATGCCAAGGGGTCTGCCCTTCTCTTCTATGTCCTACCCTTAAATTCCCCATGGCTCCACTAATATGAGGCTGTTATATATGGCTGACTTGTATGAAAGGCTTAAAGACATTGAGAGAGAACATACAGAATAATTAGGACTAGGGACCAGCTTAATATTAAATATGCAACATCGCTGATTTTCAAAACCCTTCTGCCATCTTTGCAACTGGGAATTTGTCAACAAGTAGACTTTTCCTTCTGAAGCCTCTAACCACTTTCTCGGGCCCTCTCCCTCTGTTCTTTTCTCCCTCTGTCCTTCTCTTTTCTCCCTAGATGCCTATATCCAACTCTAAAGTTCCTTGTATTTATCATATAGAGTAGTTTTACTTTCCACTCACTCTCCCTGAGCAGGAAGAAGTTCAGTCTGTGAGTAACAAGCTACAAAGTGGGCCATTCCTTTTTTAAAACCAGGATGGTTTAGCACAGTGAGAAAATAAATTAGTAATTTTCCTACTAATCTGTTTTTCTTTTGCAATTGGATAGAAATCAACAACAGTAAAACCAACTTCTCAGAATAACTATAGGCCTCTTGGCAAATAAGAATATTTTTTAATTGTTAAACAGGTATTTCTTTTTCCACTGACGTATATTCTGACACAAAACCTAAACTCATAAAAGCCCTAAAAGAAGAGGAAGGAAAACTGTTGAAGTACAGTTCAGACCAAATGATGCCATCTATCTATCAAATAAATTATTCATCGTAGCTATTTATATGGTGTAATCCTTATACTTACCTGACAATGTGCTGACGAATTCTTCTTTCTACTATATTTTCCTCAGTCGACTTATTCATGTCTGAGAAGAAAGGTGAGAAAACAGTGGATTCTCTCTCTCTTCTTAGAAAGTACTTAGATTATGTATGTTATTCTAAGTTGTAGATTTAAAAAATTAAATTATTATATTTACAGGAAGGAGAGTCTCATTTATGTGACTCCTTTAAAGGATGAGAGTATAAATATAATTAGGGGACAAACTGGGTCATCCAACTCTGCTTTATTATTTCATGAATCACTGAATCATAGGCCTGGCAGGGACGTTGAGAGTCACACCACCAATCTCAGCAAGAAGACATTACATATACCAGACGACCACCAATCCCATTTTTATTGCCTCACTGAGAACTTCCCACATTTTGCCTTATAACTCATTCTAGTGTAATAATCCTGGATATCAGAATAGTCTTTCCTAATGAATAACTGAATTCTTCATGTTGCTTTCTTACCTTCTTATATTAGCCCAGAGAAGTCTGTATAATTAACTCATAATTTTCTCCAACTAAAAATTATTTTATTTTATTTTCTGGTTTCAAAAGATTTTCACAATCAGAGTATAGTTAAGTGCATGGGCTCAAATCCTGCTTCCACAGCTTACTATCTGTGTGACCTTGGGGAAATTTTTAAACCTCTCCGTGCCTCAGTTTCATCATCAAACAGTACCTACTTCATAGGGTTCTTATGAGGATTAAATTAAATGAGTTAATATCTGTAAATCCCTTGAATAAATATTGGCATGTAGTATTATTAAAATATTTGTTAAAAAATTGAAAGCACTTTAAAAAATAAAAAGGAAAGAAAATTTAGAAAAAACAACAAAAGAAACAAATCATCAGTAACCTCACTCTGGAGATAACTGTTTGCATTTTGATGTTTCCTTCTGTCCTGTGTATATATAAATCACACAGATTGCACATGATTGGGATGATGCTATATTTGAGAAAAGGGTCTAATTCATGAACTTCTTCACTTAATGTTATTTTATGGGCATATCCATAAAATATCTTTAAATATCTTTGAAAATATCTCAATATCCTTAAAAATCTTTGAAAATCATATTTAGGAGTTTTACAGCAATTCATTTTATGGGCTTACCCCATCTCAGCAATCCTCCTATTATTGAGCTATGAGATTGTTTTCAGTATTTCCTTGTTTTAGCTAATGCAGTGATAAATATCTTTGTAAATAATTTTTTATCTACCTCCTTGAATATTTCTACTCTAAGTTTTCTTGAAAGGACATTTTGAAGACTTCAGGTACAAACTGTTAATTTGTGTTCCAGAAAGAAATGTATTAATTGATGCTCCTATGAAGCAGTGTATGAGACAGCATCTCTCATGGCAACATTAAATATTACTTTTTTTTTTAAGAAGATATTGGGGGTAGGAATTTATTAATTTATTTATTTTTGCTGTGTTGGGTCTTCGTTTCTGTGCGAGGGCTTTCTCTAGTTGTGGCAAGCGGGGGTCACTTTTCATCGCGGTGCGCGGGCCTCTCACTATCGCGGCCTCTCTTGTTGCGGAGCACAGGCTCCAGACGCGCAGGCTCAGTAGTTGTGGCTCACGGGCCTAGTTGCTCCGTGGCATGTGGGATCCTCCCAGACCAGGGCTCGAACCCGTGTCCCCTGCATTAACAGGCAGATTCTCAACCACTGCGCCACCAGGGAAGCCCTAAGTATTACTTTTAAAAAAGGAAAAACTTCCCAATTTAATGATAAAAATCATGTTTAAGATGCCAATTTGAATATTTTGATTCCTGGTGGAAGTGAATGTTTCTGAATATCAAAATTAGTGAATTTTTATTAAGTTATGCCTTAGTCTTTGGCTCTATAATTGGAAGTTATTGTTCTTTTACATTTTCCTTTGTGTCATGCTTTGTAACTTTAATCCACTTTGTGGCTCTCCTCTAGGGTTTTTTTCCTTCCTTGGGTTCTTTTCTTACCCTGGTTTCCAAGATAAGAGGCTACTTTAGTATTGGGGCCAGACTACTTGTTTTGGCAAGAATTTATAAATCAGGAGAATTTATCATGTTCCTATTTATGCAAGTCATGAATAATCATCAAGTAAGTAAGTATGAGTAAGTATTAATCTAGGTACTAGGAGGTAAGAGAGGTGCTTGCCCTCCCAGAGTTTAAAGTCTAACCGGAGAGAAACATCTAAGCCATGAAACAATTAGTGATCGATACAAGGCAGCCTACACTGGGTGAATTGTGGAATACAGATATAGATACTAAGTGCTATGGTCATTTAAAGAAAGGAGAGATCAATGATGATGTGAGTAATCATCAATGAGGTTGGCCTTGGCAGAGGGAAGGACAGGCGGTTCAGGTGAAAAGAACTACAGAAGTAAATGGCAGCTTAGTATAGATACAAAGAGCATGGATTTTTGTGTCAGACTTGGGTGGGAAGTCTCAGCTCCACCATTTACTAGCTTTAACCTTAAGCAAGTTTATTAACCAAACTCTCGGTTTGAACCCCAACCCTGCCACTTATGAACTTTGTGTCAAAGCTAATCATTGGGGCAAACTAATAATTTCTTGGTAACGGTAAATCTGACTTTGCTTATGGATAACATCAGTGTAATCAGAGTACCTACCTCATAGCATTGTCGTGGGGATTAGATACGCAAACAGGGGCCTGGCACCGTATAAGCGCTCAATAGTGTTAGTTTTCATCATTAACCTCTTTAAGCATCAATTTAGTAAATCACTTGTTTTTATGATGTAATAATGATTTTCCACCATAATAGATAACCACTGGTGTTTTGATTGAGAGAATTGGACAGATTTGTTACTGCAAAGGAGAAAAAGAAACTGGAACTGGAGGTTTTTCCCCAAATCATGATGCACATCTTATATTTTGAAGTGGAATGCTTGGCTCTTCTCTCAAGGTCAGTTTACTGTTAATTATAGCCCACATCCACTGACCTATGTCTCTCTCCATTTGGGCTTGAGAGCCTAATTTTTCTCTGCAAGAAAAAAAGTCAGTTGACTTTTTAAAGATCAAATTCAGTGCTCCCATTAATACATCCTAAATAAAAGATGTAATTAACATTCCTAAAAATGGGAATGTTAATTAAAAAAGTAATTAAGTAAAGGAGTTAATTAAAGTACCTAGTAGGTAAAGAAGTATTAATATTAGCAACACTAAAGAGGATGAAAGGATTTAGAAAAATCAAAACTCTAAGTGTGAAGGTTTTAAAATATAGGCACACTTTTTTTTTGACACTCCTCCCTTCATAAGATGGAGCCTAGTTCCCCCTTCATTGAATGTGGGCTGGATTTAGTGACTATATAGAATGTGATGGAAGGGACAGTGTTTGACTTCTAAAAGTTGGCCATAGGAAACTTTGCAGCATCCTCCTTCTATTTAGTATCACACTCTTTAGGGGAACCCAGCAGTCATGTTTTAAGGAACCTCAAGAGGCCCTATGGAGAGGTCCATGTGTTAAGAACTCAAGGTCTCCCACCAACAGCCAGCACAAACTTGCCAGCATTGTGAATGAGCCATCTTGGAATTGACTCCTCCAGTCCCAGTCAGGCCTTAAAATGCTGCAGCCCCAGCCAATATCTTGACTGCAACCTTATGAGAGACCCAAGCCAAACCCAAACAGCTAACCTCCTCCCAAATAATAAAAGTTTACTTTTAAGTCATTAAGTTTGGGGATAATTAAACATGATATACAATGAGATACTTAACCTAATTCACTTGAGAAAAAAACAAGTCAAATACTCATAGTTAATTAGAGGAAAATTTTGTTAAGCAAAATTGAAGAAAATAATTGGAAAATATCAGTCAGGAAATTGACTACAACCAGGTCACACAGTTTGGCAGAGACTAGCTAGCTGTCCATCAAAGCCATTTCTTCTTTTTCCTGGATATTACTGCTGGATGACATTTCACATCTAACTGCTGGGAAATGCAGTTGGATGTGGCAATAAGGTTGAGTGCTAACCAACTGAAATGAAAGCCTCCATGCTGTCTCTTTTTCTGTCTGCTGGCGAAATCTTGACAACCAGGGTGATCTCGGAAGTCATATGCTGAAGATGACAGAGCCCCTATTAACATAGGTTCCTGATAACTGTGGAGCAGACAGCACCCCGCACCGCCCACACTCATCCCAAACCTTGCTAATGGAGGATTTGTCATCTTCATTGTGGCTTCAAAGTTCTTCTTGGGCAGTGTATTAGTCAGTGTTTTCCAGAGAAACAGAACCAATAGATGATAGATAAATTAGTATAGACATAGATATTTAGAAAGAGACTTATCACGAGGGATTAGCTCGCGCACTTACAGAAGCTGAGAAGTCCCACAGTGTGCTGACTTAAACTGGAGGCCCAGAAAAGCTGATAGTGTCGTTCCAGTCCACACCCAAAGGCCCAAGAACCAGGGGAAACAATGATGTAAGTCCCAGTCTGAGTCTGAAGGCCCAAGAACCAGGGGCACCAATGTTGGAGGGCAGGATAAAATGGATGTCCCAGCATAAGTAGAGAACAAATTCACCCCTCCTCTACCATTTTGTTTTATCCAGGTCCTCAACAGATTGGATGATGCCCACCCACATTGGTGAGGGCAATCTTCTTTACTCAGACTTCCCATTCAAAAGTTAGTCTCTTCTAGAAACATCCTACAGGCACATCCAGAAATAATGTTTTACCAACTATCTGGGCATCATTTAGTCCAGTCAAGTTGACACATAAAATTAACCACCTGCTTAATTCAGCCACCAGATTGGGGAGGGAAATGAACAAAAGTATGCAGCTTTCTTAACTACTTCATCCAGGAAGTGATACACATCACTTTGCTCACATTCCATTGGTGCAAATTAGTCATTTGGCCTCACCTAAATGAAAAACAAGCTGGGAAATGTAGTACCCCATCGGGCCACTGCTCTCTAGCAACAACTCTACACAAAGGAAATGGGGTATGATCTTTGGTCAACCTGCCATGGTCTATCCTTTCTCCTTACACACAGAGCATACTCAACTCCCAAGGGGGATGACTAAAAGGTCCATCTAGATAT